GAATGCCCTTGTCATGAGGCTCTAGTAGTGAAATCATTACACAGCAGCCTTAATTTCACAGGCCCACTAAAGAAGGTCTCCTGAATGACATTAGGCTGAACCCAGCCTTACTATTAGTGGGAACAGTTGCAACTGCAGGGCACAGACAGAAGTGACAATTTTTGCCCAATCTGGCCACAGAAAGCAGTCTATAAGCATGACAAAACACAAGTGTGTGGCTTCAGACAGCTTAAAAAATGGCCAGTTGGGTGAACATCTGAACCCTCATTGCATGAGGGATGAATTGAAGACATTTTAAAACAGAGCGTCTTCTGTAACTTCTGTCTGCACTGCCCATGTGTGTAGCTGCAAAATAAATTAATTCTTGGCCAAGTTGAAATAGCTGTCTTTTTATGTGGTTTGCACTCAGCTTGGTGGTTTGAGTGACCATTTCTCACTTTATGCTCAAGCTTTGCTTTTTGGGAGTTAAGAATCTGTTGTGTTCTGTTATAGCCATGTTCTTATACAACCTTTACTTCTGTTATATGTTATTGGGATTTGTAACTGTGAACATTCAGAAATGGGGAAATGCATTGTAATGTATTCTTTCAGTTTAAATGTAGCCTATATCTTTACACAGCTACACAAATGCCAGAACTTTCTTTCTACACACCTGTGTCTTTTTAAGTATGGAAATCAATCCCTCAGCCCAGCTTTAGGAATCAGGATCTGTTTTGTTGCAGAGGTTAGTAGTACTTGCGCTAATGTTTCTTTAATGAGCTATTGTCAGCTTTGAATCTATAGGTACTGTGACTCTTGCAGTTAAAATGTCATTGTTCCTATGTTTTTGTAAAGGCATTACAAATCTTAAATATGTATTGTGGAAATAATAGCTGTAAGAAATTGTTTTTTTTGCCAAGCTAGTGGCTTTTTTTTTTTAATTGTGAGCTTGGTGACTGCTGGTGCTTTTTCTTCGCCCCTGTCCTGAAGCCTGATAATTCTTTGTCTTCATTTTCAAAACAGCAAGGTTAGTACTGTAATAATGAGAAATTCTACAACATGTACCTTCAAAAAAGTAAACATTTAGCTTATGGTTAGGACTCTACTAACTAGTAATTAATGCACGAAGAAAATTCTGAAGGCACAGGAGAGGTGTATTTAGTTCAAAATTAAAATCTAGACAGGAGAGGTGTATTTAGTTCAAAATTAAAAAATATTAGCCATTTCAAACCAAATTTTAAGGAAATAATTTGTATTATTAAAAAAAGTTTTGTGCTAAAGGGTAATTTAGGAATATTTATGAAGAAGCTTTTGCCATTATGTGAAATAGTAGTTGCCTTTGTTAGGTATTGTGGTCATAGTTTAAATTGGACTCAGTTGAATTGTGCAAAAGAAGTGTTGTGCTGAAGGAATTAAATGTCCTTGTAATGTTTTCATATGGGTCTGTATTATGATGGAACCTGCACTGATAAACTAGAAAAGATCATGGGCCAGGAATGTAACTCATGCCACTAAAAGTATAACCGTTCTTCTGGGAACCTAACCCCATGACAAAGTATGTGATAACTGAGGTACATAAAATATAAGCTGATTGAAAACTTTCATTCCAGAATTTGAACTGAGCCCCACTTTAATGTTTGAAAACTTAAATTCCTCATTCCTCTTTCAGGCAAAGCTCTTTCCTAATTTGTATTTCCTGATTTCTACTGTGGCATTGCAAACAGTGGTATTTCTGGCCTAACCAGCAAAAGAAAACATACCCATTCCCTTGGGATTTTAGAACCAAGGGATCCACAACATGCACTGCCCTGTCAATCTGAAGCTTTATAAAGGATTTGGAAGCTAGGTATTGCTTGATTGGTATGGATCCTTCATAATGGCCACATCAGATGTGTGTGGATGTTTGGCTCCCTGAGAACAACTAGAGGTGGCGCACCTTGTGCTGCTGCTAGTTGTCTCCTGGGAATGCTTGTGCTCTATGAGCTCTGGCACATGGCAAGCTACCCCGGATGGGGTAGCTTTATTGTTCCTGGGTGTGCCATTTGAACATGTGCCATAGACCACAGCACAGTGTGTCAGAGCAGCCTTGGCTGAGAGGGGGCCCCAGAGGTCAGCCTGCCAGCCCTGGATTAAGGTGCTGTGGAGGGGTTGGCTGGGGCACAAAGGTGCTCCAGTGCAGGGCTAGCCAGCAGAGGCTGTGTCTACACATGTGCTGCTGTAAGGAAAAAACAAAAAGAAAAAAACCAACCAAAAAACCCCAACAAACCCACTCCGCAGCAGGATAGTACTTGTATTTACAAATACTATCCTGCTGCGGAGTTATTTAGTTTACTCTGGCCTAATAGGGGCGCATGTGTAGATGCCAAGATGTTTACCACAGAGCTAATTAGTCAAGTCCACAGTAAATGTCTCATGTAGACACCTCCACTGAAGTGGGAGGGGAGGGGGGTGGTGCATGGCCAGATGCTGAGTGGGAAGGTGGGGACGGCATGCTGGCAGGTGGGGACAGAGTGCTACCACCTCGCAGGAGGAGGAGTGGGGCGGGGAAGCTCACCGGGCTGGGGTGTGGCAGTGTGTGAGCTTATCTGCCCTGGCCCTGCTCCTGGGAGGTGGCAACGCTCTATCCCCACCTGCCCGTGCGTACCCCTTAGGACTGGTCCAAGTACCCCCAGGGGTATGCGTACCCCCAGTTGACAACCCCCATCTTAAACACATTTATGTTTTTTATTGTAGTAAGATGCAATATTCAACAATAAAAAAATGTAAATGTGTTTAAACACCACAACAAAGTTACCCTGAATAAAATTCACTTAAAAATAGATTAGTATAACAATGTGATGTACAGAGCTAAATGTCAGGATTATTTGTAATATGGCACTAATCCATGTATTAATGTTGCATTATCCTTTTGGACTGTCCTACTATGCTGTGAGTTTCAAATACATAGTCAATAGACAAGTTTTTTCATAAGTTACACAAATAGTTTCTGGAATAGGCTTAATTGCTGGAATAAATTCAAATACTGCAATCAGGAATCTTTACCAATATACTGGTAGAAATTTTTTATGCTGATCTGTGCCTAATCCCAATACAGACAAAGGTTTAAGAATGAAGAGGGAATTGCAAAAGGTTCAACTTGGCTAAGTAACAAGCAGTTAAAATATTTGCTCAGGCATCATCCTGGAGATTTTTTTGAAACTATAAGCATTCAAACCTTTGAGTTAACAAAGTTGGTTTTTAAACTTCATGAGAACAGGAAATTTCACAGGAAAACCCATACTACCTGTTTGTAATCAGTCCCAAACTCAGCTGGCTTCCAGTTGTCAAATTACTTACTTAGATAACTATTTCCTCCCCATTTTACATAATTCAGCTGGATTTGGAAGCAGAAATGCTGAAATGCTGTAAGAGAAATTGCTGACAACGTTTGCCCTACTAGAAGGAGAACTGGAAATGTCATGAAGAAAATAATTAATTGAGATTACCACCTGATTTCTATTAATTTAACAGGTTCCAAATGTCCTAGCTAAGTTTGGATAAGCCCCTAGATTTCTTTAGGCATTTATCTTTATTTGAAATTTCTGTTGAGATTGTTTCCACAATATAAAGCATTACCTCAATTTCCCTGCCAATGAGGAACTTGCTGTTAGTATACTTGGCACTCCATTTCCTCTGCCCACCCTTAGGAGCTATCTCTTTCGGTTGGTCTTGAAGAATGTGGGAAATAAATATTCTTTAACAAGCTCTTTGAGTCTTCTCTATAATGGAAAATGATATCCCTGTTTTAGGAGTGCATCTTGTGCCAAGGAAATGAAAGTGAACAATACAGATGGAGATTTTTTGGGGGGGGGAAGCGGGGTGTAGAGTGAATTTAATCCAAAATTGCCAAATTGCTTCAGCTGGGGGGGGAGGGGGGAGAGAATATAGTCATAAAATAAGTGGTTGCATGTCTTTCTTACCAACGCCTAAGAAGTAAGGGTTCTGAGGTGATGGCTTTTTGGTGAAATATTTTATTATACCATTTTTCTCTTTGTGGACCAGCATGGCTACAACAACAGTCCAGCCATTTTATTGAGTATTTCAGTGGATACAGGCCTGTCAAAGGATATGAGAGTCTCTTGTCTAGTCCCTTCTACTGCCAGCCTTCTCTTGCAGAGGCTGAAGAGATCCAGGTCCCTCAGTCTCTCCTCATAGGGCTTGTCCTGTAAGCCTTGAACCATACGAGTGGCCCTCCTCTGGACCCTCTTGAGTCTATCAACATCCTTCTTGAAGTACAGTGCCCAAAACTGGACACAGTACTCCAACTCCAACTGCTTGAATGTTTTAACCTTCATCTTGCTGCTGGTGATGTTGAGAGTGCAGGATTTAAATCTAAATAATTAAATCTAAATAATGATATTTAGTTTGGAACAGTGATACTAAACTTTCGGCTGGAGGGCTGGGTGCTTGCTACCCAGCTGCATTGTGGGCCACTACTTGTCTGATGTAGGGGAGGGAGGTGGCTGCCAGTGTCAGAGGGAGGAGATCACCTCTGGTAAAGAGCACTTACCATAGGTAAAAGGGTGGACTGCAGGGGGATCAGCAGCATGGTACAGAGCATGGAAGGGGATGTGCCAGGCAAAGCTGCATGCTGCTGATGCTTCCCATGCTGCCAGCTGGATCCAGTCATGCTGAGGGACAGATCTGTCCTGCAGGCTGTAAATTGAGCACCACTCCCCTAGAATAGTCCAGTATTGAAGGCATTCTCCTGTATTGTCAGGGGTTTCTCGTACACATTTGTGTACAGGGAGGAACTAGACTGTTGGGATCACTTGTAGTTTTAACAAAAATGAGAAAATCAGCCTCACAGATTAGGGTGAAAGGAGGCAAAGTTGAAAAATTGCAATTTTATTACATGAAACATCTTATTTTTTAATTTTGTACATTTTTGTAAATGTGAAATGACTGGTTTATTGCAGAAGACAGGGAGACCCATTCTAATTAAAGCGCTGAGCATCTTATGCGTCAGTGTCCCCGTGCTTCAAAATGGTGGCAGGGGTGCTTGAACTAAACCTTGTTTGACAAGCTTTAGTTAAAGTGCTCCCGCTGCCATTTTGAAGTGCAGGGACACTGATAAACAAGATGCAGGAGTCTGCTGGAGCACAGTAATTACCATGCTCCAGCAGACTTGAGTTAATTGAGCCTGCTCCAATGCACTGTAATTACAGTGCGTCTGAACAGCCTCTGTGCTCACGTACAGGCACCCTTAGAGACTGACTTGCTCAGAGAGGCCTGAGCTTTCATTTATGACTTAGAAGTTGCCAGAGATTTTCTGGAAGCATTAAGTCACAGGACACTTTTAGCTCTTCTTTTGGTTTGTCAAAGCATCCACCAGATCGTAGGTGAGATGTTTTCATTTGGATTGACTTGACAAATTAATGGATCAACAGGTGAGAGGGGAGGTAGGGGAGAAACTTGCTGTGTAACATTTTTTCTTCAGTCATTAAGCTGAAGAATATGTTGGCTAGAGGATTATACCAGGCTAGCAGTATTGAAATTCTTGTTACCTCTTAGGGTATTTGTGTGTGTGCACGTTTGCGGGGGGGATGCTTTAGAGTGACTCCGAGAGCTGCACTAATTAAAGTGCCCAGAGTATCTTTTGTATCAGTGTCCCCACACTTAAAAATGGTGGCAGGCTCACTTTAACTAAAACTTGTCTGACTAGCTTTAGTTAAAGTGCTTCCACTGCCATTTTTAAGAGCAGGG